AAAACATCATAGCATCTTTTATAAGCAGGAATAATGAAGATCTCAACTTCATGTGTCATCATTTTTCTCGTTTATCTTAAGCTAAATTACTTATGATTTTGATTTTATGCAGTGTGCCTTCAACTGCAAGAAATCAAGGGCCATGTTTCCTGCAGGAAGATTTCTAAAGTTTCTGTGGAGAGAGGGACATACCTTATATGTGTTGCTTAAATTTGCTCTTCCTATGTTGCCAGGCTTCTTTCACAGAAGGTACATAAAATCATTTGGGTTTATGTTTAACATAAAGAGAATTGACATCAGAGTTTGTAATAATCCAAGAACAAATGTAAAAATACCACAAGAGAAAACCACAAGAAGATTGCTCTGTATAGTATGCTCACTTGAATACTCCCACGGTACTTACCTCAACTAAGCAGACAGGTTCCCTGTATTTTAAAAGTGTGATACATACCAGACAGAAACCAGCTATCACTAGCTCAGAAACAGGTCAAAGAGAACAGCACTGCTTTACATGGAAACAGTCCAAAGGCAGAATTTTTGTCCCATGGAATAAAATGGCAGAATTTTACAGTGTGAGGCTTGTTCTTGTTACATGAGAAATAACTTCATATAATGAGTTGATTTGAATGTCAGAGGGAAATAATGGGAAAATTCATTCAGAAACAGTCAAAAATAGGTGGAGCTGATTATGTATAGCATCATTCTAAAACATAACAATTATTTAAATTCCTTCTGGTAAAATCTTATGTAACTATCACTGGCATTTTGTCATATTTGTTACATGTTAGTTGAAATGAAGATTCATATTTGAATTTATAGGATAAATGTAAGCAATAGCAATTATTCAGAGATACAGTCAGTAAGCTCTTTGTAGCCAGCAACAGCTTGGCTATCTTACCACCAACTCTGCCTCCAAAGCTCACAAATTTTTTGGGGTAGTCAATAGTCTACTCACTTGGTATTCATAGACCATTTGTGGCAGATCAGAATCCCTGATGTAAGTTTTGACATGGCAGAGTAAAATACTATGGGTATCACTAGAGCTATTCTAGCTGGAAAATTACCTAAAGCAGCTGAGCACCTTGTCTTTTTCCTAAAATTAATAATGAAAGGTAGAAAAATCCAGCAAATTTGCTCACAGAATGGAAAATGGTAAAAGAAAAAAAGTTACAAATGCTGGTATTTTGTTTTTGTCAAAGAAGTTAGTGTTCTTTAGATACTTTCCAGCTGACATTTGGTTACTTGTCATCTTAGTGAAAAATGTCAGAAATTCCCTGAAGCATTGTGGAATACGTAAACTTTGAACCATAGCTCTAAATCTCTCCACTCACACACAGGATCATGGGATTTTAATGACCCAAATGGGTTGTTACCTTTAATTTATAGCTTACCTAGTGGGGCACTAACCTCAGCCTTTACTGTTTACCTTTACTGTTATTTGGCTATACAGGGAATGGTAGGGCTCATTATTCTTCATTTTAGAAGCTCAAAAAGGAAAGGAAATACAAGACTCTTATTTCAGTCACGTCAACGATTACTGAAGATGTGAAACTCAGCACTTGTAATGTATTGTGCGCAACCAAGCTGAACAACAGATAAATGCTGGGAAGAAATAATGGGAAACTGCAGTTAATTTTGAACACTGTCTGAAGTCTCTCTTGCCACCTTCATGAAAGTGATCCAAAATTATTTCTTGTATTTTTCAAAACATAATAGTCATCACCTCCTTTCCATGTGGCCAAATCTCATTCAGCAATCAAAGTAGCGAAGTGGTTATTTTATAATTAATATAGTAACCCTGAGAGACCATGAGTGGAAAAAAAAAAAGATAAGCACTCTACAGTTTCATGATAAAAAGGCAGAGAAAGATTATGCAGGCCATGTACATGATAAGAAAGAAGGTGCATGAAACAGCCAAAAGGGAAGAGCATGATAATCCTGATGGAGCACTGGCTACCTACCTCTTTTCAAGCACTGCACAGGTGGTTTGATGACATCGTTCTGCAAAGACATGGTGTCTAAAATCATAGCTCTTACTCTGCACTATGTTATAGAGTGCAAACATCACCTTGGGGGAATGGTCAGCACACACACTTCACACACTTTTGGCTTTTCACTGGCCTTTCAGAATGAGTTCAGCCCTGTGGTTCGGACTTGTTTCCCTTGAAGTTCTTGCCTCCGAGTTAACTCTGGGTTAACAAGGTCTGCTTGGAGGTTGTCTGTCTGTGCTGTATGCAGAGACTTGGGATTCACATTTACATAGGCTCCTGCACATGGGCTGACAGGTAGTCTAGAAGCCCATCACAAGAAATCTATTTTGCTATGCCAAGTGCCAGAGCATCTTTTGCCTTTTTCACTCTCCTTCATTGTCTTTCTGATGCAAACAGAAGTGTGATCAAGTACAAACAGGCACATGGGGATAAAGCGACAAAGCTTTCTTGGAGAGTGGAATTTGTGCCCCTGCAGTGATGGCTATGCAATACATCTTCAGTTGCTATCTGTATCCCAGCAAAATTGGTTTGCTGTCTTGGGAGTGGGCAGACATCCATCAGCTCGGCAGATGTGTATGCTTCCAGTGCCACGTAGCACACCAGGTAAAATAAAGGTGACCTTCCAACCTGAAAAGTCTCATTGCCAGTTCATCTTGAATTTCAGTATTCAAAGGATGTAATCATGTGACTGACAGACTTCTGAAAGGAGGTACAACAGTCATTTGCAACTTGTGAGACAGGATGAAAGTGAGAATGTTAATTCCTCATTAGCTTTCCACCAAAAACCCTACAGAAGATTTAAAAAACTGATGATAGTAGTAACTTAGCTTTGCCATTATCAATGCTCTTAATTTACTATAAATGTATAAAACTTTTATTAAATATTCTGAAATGCCAAAAGAAATTGCAATTAATACTCATAGATATCATAATGAAGTTTTAATATTTTTCACTGAAAAAATCTAATAGAAGGGGACATGTCAGAAAATAATATAATAGCTGCTAAACATTGTCAAAAACATCTACTGTTCTGCTTTAATTCAAGCACTTCATTTTGCTTTTGCATACCTCAGTCATTAGTGGAATAAAATTGTGGTTTGAGTTTAGTACAGTTAATTTGTAGTGCTGCACTCTTTTGTTTCAATCTATTCTCTTTATCTTTCTCTGAATACAGCTCAATATTTATCTTAGTTTCTCAGTTAAATATTTACAAGGATATGAAACCATCCACCAGAAAAAAAATATTCAGAATATCAAAAGATTATTTTTTTAAATACCTGAATAGAACAGAATCTAGAGCTCCTGTAGCAATTTTTTCTCAAATAAAGGCAGCATTTTTCTTAGAGTTTTGACAAAAGTGTCAGAAGTCATGGTTTTTGTCACCTCAAAGCAGTGGGTTTTCTCATTCCTGCAGAGTTCAGCGCTGAGAGTACCAAGTGACTCTGCAGACTAAAGCACTTGCTGTGATGAGTTACTACTTACAGCATTCTGCATTTTGCAGCACAGCAAAGAAAGTTTGTCCAATATTATAATTCCAACAAAGTTTAAAGAAGTATAATTTTCAGGATTTATGTTCTTTTGACATAGCACTAAAAACATGCAAAAAGGTAAAAACATTTATCCAAAGGTTACAATCTGTCACTGTCATAAAATTCAGAACAAAAATTAAAGAAAATTAAAATTAGGAGGTAAATGACAAAGTTTTATATTGAATGATTGTGAGGAATCCTGAGATTAAACTCTTTTGTGCTGGGGTAAAATACACTTTAAAAGATATGTCTTTTTAATAACGTTTAAAGAAAACTACATATTGAAAAAAGGAATTAATGTAGGCTAGGCTGTATACTCTGTTGAATTGTATTAAATGCTAACATTTTCACCAAAATTAAGTTCTGACATACATACCTTTTTTTTTTTTTTTTTTCCCTAACTATGGAGACTGGAAAATCAGAGCTCACAGTTTTCAAATTCCCATTGGGAAAATGCACAATGAATTCAATAGATCTTAGAAAGAGTAGTTAGATAGTGTTATCTAGAGTTGTAGAGATAACTGCTACTTCATGAGAGATTATTCAGTGTCACAAATATTATGGCCATGGTAATTCCTCCTGCTCTGTGGCTGGTACCCTATGCACCTGACCTCTGGTAATATGGTTAGCAAAGTAACACCATTTTATAAGGCAAACAGCCATTCTCTGTGGCTGAGCTGGTCACGTATCTGTCTCCTTTCCCATTCTCATGAGGCCCTAAGTAGGACTTGGACTGGAACTGCTGCTGGACAGCAGAACCTGTGATCACTAGGTTGTCAGGGACACCACTATCATCTGCTTCCTCCAAGGACTGAGTGACTCACAGTCTTTTACCTGTTTTTGACTCTAGGTTATGATTATTATATTGATACAGCAAGCCAAGCGTTAAGATTTGACCCAGTTTACAGAGGCTCCAGGTGGTTAGGAACCATAAACTAAGCTGTGCTATAAAATTTTGTGCTATGCTACTTATAAAATTGTGCTACACTGATTCTGCTTATAAAAATCCTGTGCTATGATGATCATGGTCTAACTGAGAAAGCAAGGTCTGAGAGTGATACTCAAGGTCTAATCATTTTAATCCCAAAGTTATATTCTGTCAGCATTACATGGAAGTGTAAAAACAGCAACAAGTAGACAGAATTTGATTTAAAAATACATATCAGAAGAAACTGTTTCCCTTCCTTGAACTTGAAAACTTCACTATATATTTTCAATGTCATTTTGGTTTAATTCAGTATGTTCAATGAAAACGGAAAATATGTTGGAAGTTCTCTGTTGCATTCTACAATAAGCAAATGGAAAGGTTTACAAAGTTTAATCATCATATTTTAAAAAAAAAGAAATACCTCAAAAGGTCAAAAGTTGGGAACTTTATGTCTGACTAGTTGATGAGACAGAAAAAAAATCAAGGGCAGAAATTCTACACAGAAGAAAATAAATATTTGCATATTTAGATAAATAAGATAAAAAAAGTTAGTTAAACATAAGACTGGCATAGTACTTTCCAACTCGCTATTGTAAAAAAAAAAAAAATCATGATGACCCCTAGAATGATGGAAACCAAAGAGTCTTTAGGAAGTGTTCCAGCATCTGCAACAACAAAAACTATGTCATAATATGGCAACACACAGTAACTATACTGCCTATAAAATAATTTCAAATCTGAAAATAAAGGTGCATTGTGTTTCCTTAGAAAGATCAAAGAGCCTGAGTACTACAGAAGTAGAATCAAAATTGTTTCATCATTATTTTTTAATTTTTCCCATTGTATTTATTATATCCACATCTCTTATCTTCTATCTAAACTGTAAAGTCTCTAAAGAATCAATTGAATGCAAAACTGGTGCAGATCCCACTCTAATTGGACAGGGGCTCTTGTCAGCATCCCATTGCAAATCAGTATTAGATAAAGAAATTATCTCCTCTGAACGAATCATATTTATATAAGAATTAAGATAACAAGTTCTTCCTTGGCCTCACTCAAGTACTCAGGTAGAAGAATGAGAAAAAAAATCAAAGCTCAAATAGACAGTGATGCTCAACAGTACCCTCTGATTGGGCTAGTGACAAAATTTGCTGCATCTCTACACTACTTTTTTGGCAGGAGCAGCTATTGGGCTTGTGTGCCCCATATCAGAGGGCATTCTTGCTGAGGGATCATGACATATGGCCAGGTCTCTGCTGCCTTTGCCTGTTTCATCCATATTTGTGGTAACATCAAACAACAAGGAAGGAAAAGAGACATTCCAGATTCAAGACAAGCATACAGCAAGGTGATTAAAGTTTATAGGAAGGCTGGACTCAAATTTGCATGGAATATGTAGAAATAAAGGCACATATTCCTGGTAGCATGCCTTGGGAGTGTAACTTCAGGTGGGTTACAGTGTAGTTGCAGTCTGTCAGCTTAGGAGGAGCCTTCCACTGTGTCTGGTGCACCTGGAGAAATGGAAAACACAATGGAGCCTGGACTACTACTTGAATCCTTATTCTTCTTATTGTTTCAGGATTTCATTCCTTACAATGGAGATACATAGTAATGAAATGTAATTTTAAGGCTGTTTGGCAGCTGTGTTTCTTATATACTACTTATATACTACTTTTCTAAGATATATATTTAAAGTGAGAGAAATGAAAGGCAAGAGCATGCACACTAACATACTGCCACTTCTGTTGACAATTTTATCAGAGATTTCAAATAGACTAGGTAAATAAACATCAGTTGATTGAAAGTATTTGTGAGCACCTTTTCCCAAAACAGGGCATTTGCAACGCATATTCAGAAGAAACCATAAAGTCCATACCCAGAAAAACAGACTAGAGTGTCTCAGCATTACTCTTTTTTTCAATCAAATAAATAAAAATGTCTCATTTGCATTCAGATTTACGCTGAAAATATTTTATGTGAAACAATATCCTTATTTCTTGACAGCTGGGTCTTATTTCAGTAGTAGAGAGGGAACTACCTCTTAATTTCAAGGTTTTTTGGTCTTTCAGAGACCTATTAGTGGACTATTACAGATAAACCTGAAATGTCACTGCTGGCTGTCATCTTCTCTGAAGTTATTTGCTTTTTGGGATTAGCATTTAAGGATAATTCCTCAGTGGGAGTTGTCTTCTGATCAAGCCAATGGGAGTTAAATAGTTTTGTTGGGTTTTTTTTCATGTATACCATCCTAACTGGTTAAACTGGCTATAGAAGAGATTTATGGTCAGTTCTCAAGTTATAATATTAAAAAGCCATTAATCAGCTTTAATCTGAAGATGAAAACAGATACATTAGAATCTCAAAGCTAAAAGTTGTCATGAAGACACAATAGGAAAGCTGCTGAATTAACAACAGTAAATGAAGTATCACCAATTGACCAACTATTAGCAGCAGCTGAATTAAACTGAGTGGGAGGAAAACCAAGATTTTCCAGAACAAGGTTTACAGAATATTGAGACTAATGGGTTTCAGAAAAAATGGAGAATTTACAAGTGAATTAACTTCACTGAGCTGGACTTCATATCCTTAAAAAGTAAGAGAGGGACTGAATATATATTAATGTTTATGTTGAAACAGTCAGGTAATTGCTAACACTGAGGAAAACAGCACGGTATATGAATGAGTTTCTTCCCAGTTTGAAATTACATTTGCTGCAGTATGCAGTGTTGGGGGTAATAGTAACCTGCTCACCAAGACTACAGAAATTAAGATGAGACTCCTTCACACTTATACTGATCTTTCATTTTAAACCTATTCACTTGTTCATGTTAATTCCTTTGGACTACACTGTGACAGCTTTAATTGCAGAATTAAATCTCTACTCCATTTACCAGGTGAGAGCAAAATATTCTTCTCTTTTTGCCCACAACATGGACAGAACGAAGACTGAGGGCACTCACACAATCAGCTTTTATCCCTTTAATGTATAATGGATTCTTATTGTAGTGACACTCAACGGTCCCATTATAGTTTTAGAAATTAGACACACTGGATAGATTTTTCATGGATTTATCATGTAATTTAAAAAGTTAAGTCCAAACTCTATTACTCATTGAATTAGACAGCTGTTTCCCATGAGCACTTTAGATAATCGTCACCCATCAGTCATGTAAACACATGGTAGTTTGCTATTTGAAAGTATTTTTAAAACAGCTTTTTCAAGCCTTTAATGTAGTTTATTTTTGTAGTGTTTTTTTAAAAAAAATGTGGCTAAATATATCTAGATTCTTTTTTGATTTGAGATCACATCAAAGAAAATAGGATTTACAAAAGCAAGCTTATTTTCATTGTCCTGGGGATAGGAACATGAAATTGTTTAGTCACATGGCACACTTCAACCTAAAATGTTTCTGTCCATTGGCTAAGCTTTCATAAAAATTAGTTTTAGTCGACATCATATGGAAGGCAAAAGTGCACATTTAAAATATCTTCACTGTGGGTCAACATGACACTCTCATTATTAGAGTATATGCATATAGAAAGTTGGAAGTTTTATGTTAATAATATATATATTTTTTTTTTTTAACTTCTAACATTTATACAAACCTTGGACCAAAGTGATAAGGGCTGAGCAACTTTAATTTCAAGCAACTCAATGAATTAACTTCTTGAATAAAGTTACAGTATGCAAGTTTCCATTTGAGTCAAAAAATATTATCCAATCTTAGAAAAGAAAACCTTCAACCTATTGATGAATTCCATCAATAAAAACAGGAATGAAGGAAGGTTACATAGATTTGCAGTATTGAATAGTTAGCATTACCAGAGCTCTTCAAAAGTTTAAGAACACTTTAGTTTTGAAGACTGAGGAGCTCATAATAAGGTGAAGTGCCCTCATAATTTTAAATCACTCTGTACTGCAGATCTCCAAATTCTTATTGCTGCTAATTTTCAGCTGCTCATTTATTATAATCAACATGTTGGTTTAGAAAAGTATTGTGCTGCCTTTTTTACCAGAGCTCAAAACCGCATTCTAAATATATGGTGAAATTAGCTGGGCCTTCTGAATGGTGTCCTAAAAAATGCAAAATAAAAGACCAACAAACAAAACCACCCAATGACCTTGATAAAAACTTACTATATCAGCTGAAGTAAAAACACAGAAAAGCTGTTTTGTATAAATTTGTCATACATTTTCTTTAATATAGAAATTAAACAAACTAGAACACAGTTGACTTGGTAACATTCTCCTTTCACTTGTTTATGCAAATATTTTTGGGAGCAATCTATTGTCAAGTAGCTAATTAACTACTTCTTTCCTTTTGAGATGAACTAGTCAAACATCCCTGTTTAAGCGGGATCAGCTACAACAGGTTGCCCAGGACCTTATCCAATCAGATTTTTAGTATCTCTAAGAATAGAGACTCCAAAACCTCTCTGGGAAAACTGTTCCAATGTTTGACCACCTTCACAGTAAAAAAAAGTATTTATTTTCTTTCATGTTTTTTTAGTTTCTGCCCATTACCTCTTTTCCTGTCAGTGGCACTACTGAGAGGAGTCTGTCTCTCTCATCTTAATTCCAGTTCAACTCAGTTGTCTGCGTGGATTTTGGTAAGGCTTTTGAGATTGTTTCCCATAAGTTCCTCATAGATAAGCCATTAATGTATGGGTCGGATGAGCAGATAGTGAGGTGGATTGAAAATTGTCTGAACAACTGGGCCCAGAGGGTGGTGATCTGTGAAACAAAATCTAGCTGGAGATCAGGAACTAGTGGTATACCACAGGGGTCAATACTGGGTCTGGTCCTGTTTAAGATCTAGTTAACAACCTGGGTGATGGGGCAGAGTCTGCCCTCAGAAAGTCTGCAGATGACAAAAAACTGGGAGGAGTGTCTGATACACCAGTAGGTCGAGTTGTCATCCAGAGGGGCCTTCACAGGCTGGATAAATGGTCTGACAGGCATCACATAAAGTTCAACAAGGGGTTGTGCAAAGTCATCCACCTGGGGAAGAACAATCCCAAACACTAGTATATGCTAGGGAATGACTAGCTGGAAAGCAGCTTGGTAGAAAAGGACCTGTGGGTCCTGGTGGACACCAAATTGAACATGAGCCAGCAATGCACCCTTGCTGCAAAAAAGCTTTAACGGTATCCTAGGCTGCAATAGGCAACATATTGCCAGCAGATAAAAAGAGGTAATCCTTCCCTTCTACTCAGCACTGGTGAGGCATCATCTGGAGTGCTGTGTCCAGTACAAGAAAGATATGCAACTACTAATTTACAGTGCTCAGTGAAGGACACTGAAGGAGATGAAGGGACTATTCTTTCCTATGATGAGATCTTAAAAGAGCTGGGACTTTTCTGCCTGGAGAAAAGAATGCTCAAGGGGTCTTGTCAATGTGCATAAATGCCTGCTAATCTGAAGGCAAATGCTGTTGTGTTAGTGTAATCTTCCACTACCCTTCACTCTTGGGCCTTTGGTGATCTCACATGGCCTCACTTAAGGTTTCTCTTGAGGCATATGCTCATGTGGTCCTGAACCATAGTTGGAAAACTGACTGGATGTACATTATATCATTGAAGACATCTCTGTTTGCAAGAAGGTAATTTTTTTGCTGGGGAATTATAATTCTGTGTTTTCCTTTTGCAATTAATAATAAGAAACAGTGTAATCCCACATGTCATAACCAAGATATTTGATGAAACAGGAAACAAGATTCAGTCTACTTATGATTGCATGACAGACATATAGCACTGAATATGAAAGATCTGGGCACTCTAAACTCTCTGTGCTTCTCTTGGGCACTTTGGTAAAGTAGATATCCATCCACTTGAGTTTGGATTGCAGGATTTCATGGAGATTTTGAGAGATCTAGACAATTTCCCCAGAACAGGTGTTACTCAGCAACAGTGAGCAACAACATTTATACTCCCCACCTAAACCTTAAGACTCAATACAGCTTCCACGAACACTGAAAAGCTGAAAAACAAGAAAATGCATAGTTTATGATAGCTCTAAAAGGTTTAACAGTTTTGGAATGTAATAGGTGGAACTTAGTTAAGATTCAGATGCTGAATTTAGATAGTAACAAGGACAAAAGGAGATTTGACTCCCCCTTCATATGCACTGTCATGAAATACTTAGTGGTTTATATAGAGTAGGAAAGGAAAATGAAAACCTTATTTCTGTGTCTATATTACTTGTTCAATACCTTCATTTACTTTACAGAATCTGGTTGTATCTTTATGCCCATGACTTTGCAAAAGTGTTTTATGTATGTTAACAGCTCATCAATAAATCTCAATTTTGTGATTTTTACAGCATTGTAAAACAGAACAAAGAAATTTTTAATGGACAGTAGGTTCACAAGCATTACCAATGCATGTTCTTCCATCTTCTGCCAGCTTGTAAGGATCAGCACAGAGACATTTGTAGCTGCCTTTAGTGTTAACACATTTAGCAGAAGGAGAGCATGGTGGATTAATTTCATTTTCACATTCATTGATGTCTGAAAAATGAATACACACTGATCAATGATCATTACAAATTACACAGCAGGATTACTACATTCTCATACACAGCTATAAGTATTCATAAATGAAAGGTATTGTACACTTTAAATGACACATAGATACTGGAAAGGTCCTCATTGTTACTGTTTAAATGACAAAATTGGGTTTGTTTTGTTTTGCTTTGATTTTGGGATGGTTTGTTTTTTGTTTGGTTGGTTTTTAACCTGGAAATTATGAAAAAAAAATGTTCTTTTGGTAAACTGCTAAAAGTTAAAAATGGGAATTGGCTGAATTTTAAAAAATGCAGACTGTAAACCTGAAAGCTCTTCTTGCACACATTTATGTCCTAAGACTTTGAGTTCCTCTCCAAACTTTTTCCATAATGTGCTCTATAGAGGTAATGAAAATAATAGCACTGACAGAGTTCTATACACTGCTAGATATGTTTTTGAGGACCCAAGGATTCTGGTTAGCTATAGATAAAAAATTTATAACAGTAATCTGTGATATCACTGCAAAGAAGGTTGTTTCTAGATGCTATATAAATTCTGTGGAATTACAATGTCCTCACAGAATGATGAGCAGATGAACAATTAACCACTGTAAAATGCACATAAACATATTGTTCCTGAAGGACATTCAAGACTTTTCACTCTCAAATTCTGATTATGTGATGAAATGGGAGTCAGTGTTGCCTTTAGGAAGGAAAGTACTCAATGAGGGAAAGAATGGAATCTTTCCCATATTTCTGCATTTTTCTTCTTTCAGTGTAATATTTACTTGAAGGACTTGATGCAGTTTCCTAAAGATAGGTGTCCAGCACTGTTTTAGATAGTTTCTCATTAGTCCTGTATAGTATTTTTCAACTTGTTCCATGTCTCTGACCCATGGTCCTGGGAAACACTGCAAGCCCATATGTGGGCAACCAGATGAGCCTTCAGTGTCTTCTCTTCATTTCCTTCCCTTCCCTGCCACAATGTTTGATCTGCTACTTCTGGCTAAGTAGTTCTTTTTGATCAGTATTAGAAACTGACCTTGTAGGAATGATTTACTGACTTAGCTTAGCATTGTCACTCAGATCACTTAGGGAATTCTGTCATTGGAAATAGGATCAAGCCTGATCTTCTCTTTAAATTTTAATACAAAGCTGTAACAGTGTCCAAAGCTAGCCATCAACTGAGACAGTCAAAAGACTAATCATGCAAAGAATAATCTTAAACTTCAGAACCCTTAAGAAACACTAATTCTCACAGCACTGCTCTGAAGCAGGAAAATAATCTGTTGTTTAGAATGAAGATTCCTGAATAAGTATTACTCCATTTAAGTCTACATTTTGTGTTAACTCCCACTGGCTTCATCATAATCTGGGAAGGAAAACCTGCACAGTCTTTGCCTGCACTATGCACTCAAAAGTGCTATTTCAGCTTTTGTAGATCCATAGTCATGCTATCTGTTAACTAGCTAACTCTTTTTTCCATCACTAAATAGTGTATGTCAGATCTTACCAGCCTACCCTACTACTCAAAGAGAGCAGTAGTTTATCAAAGCAAACAGTTATTTATCAAGAGTAAGGTAACACTTAATATAAAGGAAGGTAGCATAGTATAGCACTAAATGACTTCCTGAAGCAATAGAAATTATTTCCGTTAAAGCCAAAGTTAGCAAGCAGGAATTAACAGCTCTCAGATTCCTCTGCTTTTGCCAGTAGGCCACTCTGTCTTTTCCAGAGCAGTGTATAATTTTGACACCATCTGCAGAAATGCTAAGCTCTATCCTCCTCATTACATTGCTTGACTTATTCCTAATTTGCTGAACATTTAAAAGACTGAGAACACATTGCACAGACATGCATGGAACAAAGTGCTTTCTACTGTAAAACTCAAGTAGCATCTGCATAAGTGGGTTTTGATGTTTTTCTTTTAATAAAGGCATTGCTTATTTAATATATGCAGCAGCTTGTTTTCCTATAGCAGATATAGTCTTTTGTTTACATTACTGAACATATTAAAAGAAACTAGGACAAGGAATGATTCATTCATATAACTTATTTATTCAGTTTGCTGCCAGAACATTAATCTATTGAAAAGATTTTATTATAATTCATTTAACAGCTTTATTTCTTTATATGGTATTTATGTGGGTGGAATTCAGTGGATAAATAGGATTTGAATAAAGGAAAGAGCTGCAAATTTCACTTGACTTTTTTCATAACAGGTATACAATTAGAATGAATAGCTTTCCATTCTGGTGTCACAGAAATACTGATAAGCAGACTTTATTGCGGATCAGCTGCAGCACTTGCATTCAAATTAATTTACCACCATCCATAATATATTCCTAAATATGGCCTTTTCAGGTTTCATTTTCTCTCATGTTCTTATAAAGCTGAGCAGTTTGAGTGTGTGTATATATATACATTTATACATACAAATACATGTAACAAAATAAATAAATATATATACACACACACACCTATTATAAGCACACACATTTGAAATGTGAAGACACAATTCATCCTTCATAGCTGTGAAGACTGAAGGTCTTGTAATTAAATATTTGTCACATTATTTTTCTTCCTATCCTATTCTATTCAACAGTAAAGAAGGAAGAGAGAAGATAAAAGAATAATCAAAATAACAGAAAAGTATTCCCCTGAAACTGTGCATGAAATGTCAAAAGACTGTATCTTTTTACTGTTTTTTCACCTGCTCTACTTTTGTACCTGCAGAAGTATTTCAATTCTGGCAAACCTTTCACAGCTATTTGAGGGAGGGAGGTTGGAACGGAACTGTTAATTAATTTGCTTAATTTCACTTACTCACTTCACAGTATTTTTTTGTCACTTTTGCGTATTAAGATGTTGCATGAACCACTAGTGTTGAGCTCATTTTGTATCTACAGCATCCCATGAAACAATGCTAGGAAATTTTTAGTGACATTTTCCTATCATCAACCTGATTGCTAAATCAGGAAAGGTAGAGATTGAGACAGCAGTTCTGGAGCAAAGAGTTTCACATCATGTTATTGTACCTACAAACACAGAAGGTTCACTACAAGACAGTATAGGAGGGAGTTCACTTCTAAGGAGTTGTGCTGAACTTTAGCTTTTAGAAAATTCAGAAATAAACAACAAAAAATAGATACCTATACAAACTGGAGCCTCAAAGTTCCATCCTTTACTTGTACAGGTTAATTGCTCTTCTCCTTGTAATTGAAATCCATATTGACATGAATAAGTGACTGTAGATTTTCCAAATTGTGAACAGTATACAAAATCACCATTTTCCACACTCTTTGGTGTTCCACATAGTTCCTCTACAAATAAAATGATTGTATTACAAGCTCTTAAAAAATAACCACCTAATCCTTGAAAATAGACATTATTCTCCAATTCTGCTATAAATTAACTTCAGGTTTGGTTTTTTTTAAGGTGATCAAGAATTTAATTATTCATTTCTGGACAAAAGTTTACATGGAATACCTCAAGGCTGACTTATAATCCTTGTAAAATTAGAATTATCTTCTAACAGTATGTTCTGCAGAACTCTGCGTTAATATTTTCTATCTACGAACCCTGCCCCAGTTGCCATAATGTCTAGGTATCTCACAAGTCATTCATGTTATCAGAGTGAAGTTGGCAAACACCATCTTTTACAGAGGAAGTTGAGAAATGGGAGAAAGACCTAGATCCCATTTCAAAGTGGGAGAAACACTAAAGACCTGGATCAGATCAGTAACTCAAGACCTGCCACAACCAAGGTCAGTCTTCTAACTGCTGATTATTCTCCCCTCCTGTCAGAAAATACTTGTAATTACCAAATTACCTTCCTGGTAGAATTCTTGCCAGGCTTCTAAATTCATCCCAGGTATATTGTCACAATGTTTAAAATCCTGTGGAAACTTCCCAAGTTGAAAAGCATCAGCTGGCACTTCAGCAATCCCTGTATTGTCACAAATCACGCGGGATAATGAGTGTTTTTCAAGTTCATGCCTTTGAGCTTCTGTGAAAACATTATCATTTTCCCACCAAAATCTGGAAAGATTGATAAAAGATTTTGAAAAGATCAAATTCAAAGAGCTGATTATTCTTAATTTCACAGTACCCTATGTAAAAGACCAAAAATAAGAATTACAGCAAAATGTTGGTCGATACAACAATTATAAAAGTAAACACCATGATCTGCAGATTTAATACCCAGCTTGAAAGTCACAAAAAGGCTAGTGTGAGTCTGACATACTGGTCAACTCAGATGACGTGTTAAAGTCAGCTGGTTAGAATTATTAATTACTCACATTTTCAGAATTGACAATACAGGGTCACAAAAAATGTTACAATTCTGAGAGGAAAACTTGAAACTAATTTGTTTGAACTGGATGCTTAATCTTATATACACCGGCATTCACTGTGCACTCATAATTTTTTTCAAGCATAAATTACAGGTGAATTACAGGAGTCACCATAATAGTTTTCCTCATATCAGTTTTTGACCATTACTGAATGGTTGCTATAAAAACAGGTATTGCTGAATGCTCTTCTGTTTAATATGGAGTTTTTAATTTGCTAAGAAAACTGTAGATATGCAGATTAATTATAGTAGAAAATTGTAAGACAGTAATTGTGCTTTTGATCATACAAAAATGTAAGCTAAGAAGACTGACTGGAACAGAGAGGAGCTATTTTTTCCATTTTGTCAGATCAAGAGTGCAGTGGTGGAACAGAAGAACCAGTTGGTGCTATAAAGGTGTCTCTATTAAATGATATATATTATATATAATATATAAGCATACATACACACATATATGTGTTTAAAGATAAAAAGAAAGAGAAAGAAAATACTACAGAAAAAAAGAAAAGACAAGTTTTGTACTTAAAGACGTGTCATGAACAGCAAAAGATGATTATTTCTCAAGAGTCTGATTAGTACATTAAACTGTGTTTAGCACTGCTAAACTTCTAAGATAGTTCTCTGTGGTACTCAGGCCAACTAGTATTTTCCCAAATTCTAGGCATGATTTGTGGTAACGTGTCCTAGGACCATTATCAGTAGAGTATGGACATGATCACTCTGTACAAATTAACCACAGGTTTAACACAGGATTTGGGCATCCATAATACTCAGTAAACAAAGCTGGGGTTTCTAGAAAAGTCTCTGTTTACATTTTTCTGATGGGAAGGGAACAGCAAAGTTGACTGTGTACCTTGTGCAAACCTGTCATGTGTTAACATGTTAGGTTTTTTTATGAGCCCCCTGAAATTGTACCATGCAAATGAGAAGTCCGATAGTCCTGTTTGTGTTCTGGGGAGCATGAGGGCTGCTAGTGTGCCCTGGGGAGGCTTTTCAGGGCAAATTCGACTCTGCTGCACAGGAGTGTACTGGTTAAGTAAGGTAAGCGTATGTGAAATTTTGGAAAACTCGCTTTATTTATAGGCAAATAATTACCTACAGCAGGACAATTTGAGGAGAAACCTGACCCACTTTGCCTATATTGGAGGAGGAGGCAATCTACAGGACCAAGGATGGAGTGAATGTCAAACACCTCAGTAGCACTGTGATGGAAGGGCTGTAGAGAGAAAAAAAGAAAGGTGCCTTCCTCCTACCTCTCACTGGCACACTTTCCCCAAACTTCTCAGAGCATCCTGAAACCCCACTGACCATTCCCAGGCCCCTTCCCATAACCAAAGTTATCAGAGACATTGTTCCACTCAACCCTCCTACATATGCCATTTCCAGTTTCATGTACATTAAAATTTATTCTCTTTTTATCACAAAACTCAATTTTATCTACACTACTGAGAAGGCTTGAGCAGAAAATTATTTTTAATCTATCCAGCAGATAGATGTTTACTCTAAAAAAGTTCATTCCTACAGCTCTGTGTCAGGTGAACAATATTTTACAGGTGAATTTTACATGGTGAGAGTAAAAAAAAGGAAAGAAAAGGGAAAAAAGAAGAGGTGAAAGCCCTCCTACACAAAGAATTACAAAGTCAGCTTCATATTTTTTGCCCAACTATTGCAAATCCTGAGATCACAAAAAAATTCAGAGCAGGAAGAAATGGAAAAAGAAAGTCAAGGCTGGTGGAACGGAAGCAATTTGTTCCAGGTGATTTGTCTGAGGTTAAGACAGTGCCTGAGTTTAGTACACTGAAGAAATTCCTTCATGTTTTGTCAGCTTACTGACAAAAGATTTTAAGGCTATCAGGGTGGAGTTCAATCAGTCAAAAATTCCACTTAGTCCTGATTTCTGGACTTAAATGAGCATGATAGAAAAGATGTTTTGAAATCTCTACTTACTGACATGTCAATTAGGGTACCTAGTGAGCATGTAGTGATACTAATGCAGATATAGATAATACCCAATATTCTGACAAGGCATTGAAATGAATGTTAGAATTTTCCATTCTTATACTTACTGTGTGACAACTAGAACATATTTTTACATACTTGTAACTTCTCTTAGATAGTTCCTTATCATAGCATTAATGACAATACTATTTCACATTTAAGTTAGCTGACATAAGTTTTGTGGCAGAAACTTGGGGAATTATTTTATTATTAGAACTTCTTTTCTCATTTGAAGTTAATTTTAAATTATACTTAATTAATTCTAGTAGTATCATAAGACACTGAATAATAAGAAGTATCATAAGGCACTGAATAATGGAAACAAGGCTGGAAGGGTCTCGATGGTTTAACCTTCCCCAGATAGGGTCAAGTATGCCTGTACGATTCAGAAGACTTTCGATCACATTTTTAACACAGTTGAGCAGAATGTTTGTTGTCTATACAGTTTGCACTAATAAGATACAGTATTTATAATTAACATTTTTTTTTCCTTTGAGCTCATTAACATTTTTTAAAGTTCAGGTTTAAATTCTCCCTCAGATGCTTATTTACATAATAGTTTCTTTCCCCAACAGTGACTTATCAGAAGAGCTTAAAGGTGAGCGGGAGGACCAAATGTATTTAAAACACCACTGCTAGAATTGTGTGTGCAGTTTAAACTTAGTCTTCTCATGAGATTCAAAATTACTGCCACAAGTACACGATGGAAATGAAAAAGAGTTTGGTTTTATAATTGCTTCAGGAGCAGAAGCAAGATATAAACTACAACTTGCACCACTTTGTGACCTGAAGTTGCATTTCTCCTGCCTTTCTGGTGTGGAGAATTGAACTGGCATAAGATCCTGCTGGTAGTTGTGCAGGGTTGGGTGAAGGGACATAGAATCATAGAATCATAGAATGTTGTGAGTTGAAAGGGACCCACAAGGATCATCGAGTCCAACTCTTGCCCTAGAATAGAACAGTCTCAAGATTCAGACCATGTGTCTGAGGGCATTGTCCAAATGCTTCTTGAATATTGTCAAGCTTGATGCCATGATTACCTCCCTGGGGAACCTATTCCAGTGCTCCACCACCCTCTGGGTGAAGAACCTTTTCCTATTGTCCAACCTAAACTTGCCCTGGCACATCTTCCTGCCATTTCCCCTGGTCCTATAATTGGTCTCCAGAGAGAAGAAATCAGGCCCCACCTCTCCTCTTCCCCTTGTGAGGAAGCTATAGACTGTGATAAGATCTCCTCTCAGTCTCCTCTTCTCCAGGCTGAATGAACCAAGCAGCTTCAGCTTCTCCTTTTAAAGCTTCCCCTCTAAGACTATCACCAATTTAGTGGCCTCCTCTGGACACTCTCCAGTAGCTTTATATCCTTTTTATACTGTGGTACCCAAAACTGCACCCAGTACTCAAGGTGAGGCCGCACCAGTGCAGAGTAGAGTGGGACGATCACCTCCCTTGACTGGCTTGCAATGCAGTTGCTTGATGCACTCCAGGACACGGTTGGCCCTCTTGGCAGCCAGGGCACACTGTTGGCTCATGTGCAACTTGCCATGGACCAGAACCCCCAGGTCCCTCTCTGCAGGGCTGCTCTCCAGCCTCTCATTTCCCAGTCTGTAAGTGTGTCCAGGGTTGCCCTGTCCCAAGTGCAAGATCCAGGATGGATCCCTGCAGGACTCCACTAACGACTGGTCGCCAGCCTGATGTAACCCCATTGACTAGAACACCCTGAGCCTGACCCATCAGCTAACTGCTCACCCAAACTGCTGTTTATTCAGCAGTATGCTGGACATTTTATCCAGGAGAATGCTGTGAGAGACAGTATCAAAGGCTTTACTGAAGTCCAAAAAGGTTACATCAACTGACTTTCCTTGGTCAACTAGGTGGGTAATATAACATACTATACTGTGTCCAATGAGGCAATTCTGGGACCCCTCTGTCCCAGTTCACATAAGACAAGGTACATGGTGTTTTTATTATCCCCTCTAGGAAGCCTGAATTACAGCTCTCTGCCTATCCCTTCTAATTTTGCTGCAGTCACCATAGAAAATGTTGAGGTTCTTCCAGTTAAGGACCCTAAGCCCAGTGCAGCCCTCAGGGACCGGATAGCTAAAGCCTGCACAATACTACATCCATCCACACAGAATTAAGCTGCCCCTGGCACAATTAGCTGCTGCTGGCACATTGCAAGTGCAAAATTGTGCATCTCAATACCACAGAAACAATCTCCATGTGATCTGGAATTGAAATTATATACAGAACAAAGAATAAGCAAAATCTCACCCAATAAAACTGAAGGATCAAATTTGAAAACATGGAGGTGGCAGGGAATAACTTTTTTAAAGCCTGTTTAAGTATCATGTTGTCTTATGTTTTGGGAAGTATCCTCACATATCTGTAAAATCTCCATTGCTTCTGCATATTACACAAAGGAGTCAACAGCAGGAACAAACTCACCGGTCACCATCCCTTAAGGCTTTCATTTGCTTTCCAATTATACACGCAAACAGGGGGCCTGTTCTAGCACCTGGAAGAAAGTCTTCTACCAGACCACCAAGCCAAACATCAATATTATTAGGATTACGGTACAATTCCATTATTTTTTCAGTGACATTGTGATTGGTTATTACTGTATTCAGGTCATTTTGAGTTTCCAGTTTTGGTAAGCCACAGAATTCTCGCCAGTCATTATAACCTGCAAATATTATGATAAAGGAAGATTAGACTTGTCTGTTAAGCATGATATATGAAATTAATAAATTTATAAGCACTGGATTCTGACAACCTTATCATAGTCATAAACGGTTATGTCTAAAAATAGGCCTAATATTATTGGTTAAATTGATTGGGAGAATGATGGCAGGATCTGAAACTACAGGATATGTAATTGCTACATGATTTCATAAAGGAAAACAAAGGTTTAAAACAATTCTCTGATATTTAACCAATAAAAACATGATAATAGGTAATAGGAGCATGTATCATGCCTTGAGATTTCCAGACTAGGAATACAGGAGTTAGGTGAAGAGTGGGCAAGAAGTAATCTGAATTAAGTTACTAACCAAAGCACTTTACTAAGGAGAGTGCCCTAGGGCACACGTTCAGCTCTCTGGAAAATATATTTCTTTTACATTTTTTTACAACATTGGAATTAACCTCCCCTATCTCCCAGAAAAAAATTTATTTCAAACCTCTATTTCTATCCTTGTGTATCTGAGAGCTTTAAACTCCAGGTCAGAACCAGACTTAATTTTTACTGTCCAGGGCCAATGACTTTTGTATTGCTAGCTGTGGAGTTGCACAGGAGAAACAGAGAAGGTTGTCACCCAGAGACATAATGCCCCTTGACAATCAGCCAGTCCTACCTCCATGGGTGGGACATGGGGCTCAGAGCAAAGAAGGGCAGCCAGGTTTGTTTCTTATTCATGTGGACAAGTGATCTGATCAAGCAGGGGGTCAGGACACAGTTTTAGAAACAAAAAAGTAATAGGCCCTGCCTACCATGCTGAGCATTGGTGCCTCTGCTTCAGAAGCTGTGTCGTGCTTGGAAGAGGTTTTTACATAGGACTGGGAACCCACTGTGTATTTTAACAGCTGATGCAATCAAATTGAACTAAGCTCCAGTAGTCTTCCTTTAAGCCAGTACACCCATGGCCTGATGGGCCAATGCTCCTTGTCTGTTAGTTCAGTCTTACCCTGGGGTGATTTGAGTAAGAAATCTAGTGCAAAAAACAGACACAAATGTGTATTATTTCTCAAAACAAATTCTACACCTAAAGAAGCAATCTATACCACTCCTGGAGACATCTCCACATCTTCTGTGGTCAATAGAGCCATTGAGGTTGTGTCTAAGTTGACCTGTCCCACAGGTTTAGGATAGCCTGCCAATGGTAAGTAGCTGCTGCAGGCAGAAACCCCACTATTCTGGATCTGCCTTCAGCAAGAACAAGCCTCAGGTACCCGCACCAAACACACCCAGATCCACTCACTAATACCGTCCTTCCAGATTCCAGATTTAACAGGTTATTTTAATTTCAAATGGTGAGGAACATTTTGTTTCTATTAAAGTTAAAAATATTAGCTACCTACATTTTAAGAGAGACTTAAGTTTCTTTTCTGATTACTAAAGTTATTATTTAAAAGCTTATGATTACATCCCAAATATAAACAGTTATAGTTCAGTTACCAGTTGGGAGAAAATTGAAGAAAAATCAATAGACCTGGGAGTCCATGATCACGGCCACGCTGTAAATTTAACGATGCTAAATCAAGTGAACCGTTATTGGACAACACAAACAGTTTTTCTGTTAATTCTTCATTCAGTAGTTGATCTGGGACCTGCAGTTTTGCTGAATGTGCTAGAAGACCCCTTAGTAAAGGATCCAAGCCTCCTTTAAAAACAAAAATAATATAATGTTACAGTGTATCTATAAACCGTTATAACTTTCTTAACAAATATGAATGCATATATGCTTATATGCTTTTTAAACACTGACCACAGGCTTTTGCATACATTGCATTCAAATATATGCAAAAATGTGCTGTACACTGAAATAGAAGTAATAGTGCTATGAAGACTCCATCTGCTACTTCAGATGTAAGAAAGTTTCAACCTGATAATACATTCATCCACAAAAAAGAGATATGAAATATCTCTTTTATCATATGTGATCTTCATGGTCAATCACAAACCTAATGTCAATCTACAAGAATGATTTAATCTGGAAAATAAGTTTTGTCTGATTTAGAGAACTAAACTCAGAATAATTTTTCCAGTTCATGTTAATGCTGTGGAACATGTTTAACAACTTAAATCAGTGATGCAATTAAATAAATGTTCCTATTCCTAATTCAAGATAAGTAATTCAAAATAACATAATTTTCAGAATATTGAAATATTCTGAAAAAAAGAAACCCCAAAAAACCAAAGAGATTAAAAAACCCCATACCTTCTTTAATGAGTCTCCAGGGACTAAAGAAAACTTTATGCAAATGAAGATTTGGGAGTTCTGGATCATCTAAATACTGCGCATTCAATCGCCTGACTATTGGTTGGATTGTTGCATGACCAAAACGAAAAGCAGCTGTTGAAAATACATTAGAAACTGTAGGATTCATTGTGGGATCATAACCTGTATAAAGGCCAATATACAGACTAAAAGCATCTGGACCAATGATTTTGGGAATGTAATCTCTTAAAGTAATAATCTGAAAGAAAAGAAAAAGAAACATTTATCAGTCAGTATTTTTAGATGAATAGCAATGATTCCTACATGTTAAAGGCCATTTTCTTCACTCGTCTTCCCCCAAGCATTTGACAAGGCTAAGAGCAGTGTTAGCTGGTAAACAATATAATTCTTATTTTTTGTGGTAAGGAGATAATAACTCGAGAGAAGCAGTGGCATGGCTCAGTGCAGTACAACAGCCAGGCTGCTGTTAGTTCTTACCAGACATACTAGACCAAAGCCTCTGAGTAGAAATTACCACTGTTGCACACTTCCAATCCATAAAAGCATGAATTTCTATAAAATCTTCCAAGAATGGTTGTTGAAATGAACAGATTCTATTTTCAGACATATATTTGTGACACAAATCCACCTTACTGAATATCTGAAATGACCAGGCTTTAAAATACTGGTGCCCAGAATCCCTTGGTAGACTTTTTATGCTAAACTCAAGCCAATTTATAAACTCCTAAAAAATACACTTAAAAAATGAAAATGCTGATAAATACTTTCAGTCAAGTGCTTTTATAATGTAATAGCATTACAGTCACATGAAAAAAGCATATGAGTAATCATGACCAAAAACCAGAGGAAAATGATCTAATGTATCATATAAAATGAAGGTGCATTATGGGTTAAAGATTATGCTGAACTCAGTAAAGCATAATGGGATGAACCATAGTGAACTCAATAAAGTACCTTATAGATTCAGTATAGTGTGCAATAAAATATACAGACAAATGTCCTTTGAACTTGATATAGTGCATATTGAAAAGCTCGTTGGCATATAATGACCTTATGAAAAACTTGTATTTTAAATTTAGGCATTACACAGAAACAAGCAAACTCCTCCAGAATTCGCTTTTCTCAGAAGGCAGAGGTAACAACCTGTTTCAGGTTAGGTCATGCAGTGAACAATACAGTTGAAAGGCAGTAGGTTAGAATTCCTTTTACAGCTCCTTTAATACTACATATGAAGAAAATAAAATAATAGCTAGAAATTAATACTGACACTGTCATTTGAGAAGTTAACCTTTTGCTACATTCACAAAGGTTTTGCAAGACAACTCTTCTTTCTGATTTTAGATTTAGAGTTAGCTTTTACAAGCAAAGACTTTAAATAGGACTAGGCTAGCCATAAACACAAACATCCTGATATGACTGTTATTTTTTGGCTCATTGCAAATGAAATCCCAAGCTAAGCTCCTCATAAAGGCCAGATTCCCTGAAGAAAAGGGCAATTCAGATTTTTCATTTGCTCCAGAGGTAAGTTCTTCATTTCTTGTTTCCCTGGTGCAGGAAGAGGGGTTGCCATTTCAAGACATGAAAATTAAAAGGCTAAGACAAAAAGGGGTCTTACGCCTGCCTTGAGCTAGGAAAGGCATCTGTTTGATGGAAAATTCCAATGGCTAAATAAGGCTCTGTCAAGTGGAGATTTTTAGACAATAGACTATAAGATGTTATGAATGCAACAGAAGATGATACTACCAGAAAGAATCTGGAGTCTGACAGAGAACCATATCTAAAGTACATCAGCATGTAGAATCCAATCTTTGTGCAGTCTCTGAACATACCTTAGCTGAATTTGTCTGTGTGAAGTCAAAGAGAGGTTTTCTACAAGTTCTCATAACTGACAAATATATAAGTTTTAAAGAAGCTGTAAACAACTGGCAAAAATAAAAATTATTTTTGTTAAAATTCATTTGCATGCACTCTCTCTTCTGAGATGTATTTCCTTTCTTCTTCGGCATAAATAAGCATAATACTTTCTTTCAATACAGTGTTCCTTCAACAACTGAGATTCTCCGGTGGAAACAAAGGAACGTGCTTGTCTAAAAATACATCAATAAAATCAGAGCCAGAAAGGGACTATATGGAAAAGAAATTGCAAACAAGTACAATGAACTGCTCTACCATTTATTACTTACTTTGAGTCTGCTTGTGAATAATAAGTTAACTTTCAGGTGTTTGCAGCAGCATAAGGGATTTATGTGGATATAATGAGGCTGAACCTGCAAAGTACTGGGTGGTATCAGTTCCTTGTGACATTTATGAGATTAGTGGTAATCCAAGCTCCTCTTAGGAGACATTCAGCCCCTCATAGCATCAACTCCAAGTTTCATAGAAGCCTCATGAAAAAATTAATTTTAAACTGTAATGTCGATATTTCTACTGTCTCACGGCAGTCATTGCTTCAGCAGTATAATCCAGTGAAAAATTATGACAAATAGGCACTGTCTTTTAAACAGAAGCCCATATGCTCAATGTTTAAATGACTTTAGTAGTCTATATGACTGGATAGTAACAGAGTGATTGACAGTATTTAGATGTTATCCATTTAGTCATATCACATAAAATAAAATTCTGGTTTCCTAGCAGTGCAACCAATCATTTGGTATGTGTCCAGGCAGAAACAGAATCTGAGCGATTACAAGACTGTCAGAAAAGCTTTTGTACAGATTTTACATCATATCATGAATCACATATGCACGTGTATAGAAAAGTAACTGAATCCTGATCTGCAAACACAATAATACTCTAAGTTAAACAGGCTGTTAGTCTAAAAGGCAACATCCTTCCCTCTGAGAAAGCAGAATCACAACAGTGGTTCCCAAGTGTCTTTATGAACTCAGTGAGCATCTTGGCTGGGCTTGTCTCTAGGCTGGGCCACCTCCAGCAGAAATCAGCCATACATTAGATATTTGGAAGCAGGTTACATAATTTTAGATTATTTAAAATAATTTTTTGTTCATGTTAAAAAGTTATTTCCAATTAGGTGCAAAAGATACAGAAGTACATATTACTTCTCATAAGGTTTGGAAGACTTTCCTTGCCAAAACTCCTCCAGTATTTTCCAAAGTAGTTGTGAACAGGGCACAATGGGTGGAAAAGTAAAATATTTTTTTTAAAAAGGCTGAAAAAGAGAATAAAAAAATATGTGAACTATCATAAGATAAGTAAGACCAAAAGTGCAGCTTGTCTTTACCATTGGCTGGAGGTAACTGCAAAGAAATAGTATCTCAATGACACAGTGAAGAGCCAATTAAATGAAGCTCCTGCACTTGGGAAAGATTGCAGAAATAATAGAGAACAACTAAACACAGCAATAATGTTTAATTCATACAAGTGCTATGCACAGTTGTAGATATTGAAGGATTTATAGATTATATTGAAGTCCTAAACTTTTCTGTAATGGGTGATCGTGTGATAGTTCAATTTTTAATACATAAAGAACATATTATTATCTTTCCTTTAATAGTCTGAACTATTTATAAACTTGAGTTATGACAGTGTGCAGCACATTCTTTTATAATATCTATTATTTATCTATTTATCCTTTATAATTTCATAGAGTTTAAACTTTGAGAAGAGTTATCTAATCATCTAATTTCACAAACAAGTTTTGTCCAAGCTAGCCATGCTGAACCCAATAATTGTAATTAAAATATGTCAGCCTCAGAAGACACCCACTTTCAATGCACACCTCAGATCATGACAGAGAAGTAGGGGTGCAAGATGCACAGAGAACATAAGCAGCTGTAAAAGGAAGTCGAAAAACTAGCTATATACACATTGAAAACTAAAGGAGGTTGTCAGTTATGATGGGGACCAACGGGCAGTAACACCATTAATTCAGATATGGTTCTCTGATACTGTAATAAATCAAAGAGAATTTGATTCAGATTGATCTGTAGAACTCCTGCTTCACTCTGAGTAGTGTCACATCATCTGGCTTTCACAATCCAAACGGCCCATCAGGGGAAACTCTTTCTGGGAGGAACAGCACATGTGCATGAAATTGCAACCTGCAAACCATGTATGTGTGAAATAGCAATGTTAAGACTGTAGCAGCTGCATAATTAAGCATGTTTTCCTGTTTTGTCAACACTTTTTGTTTAAAGGAAAACAAATTTAAGCTATTTTCTTTCAAACAGCTTAAAAGGAGGAATCCTAATTCTCCTCATTCTGTTTTCTCAGGTCAAAACAGGAATAAGCAAAACAAAGAGTTTCATGTCATTTACTACATGACAATGAAAAAAATGTCTTTTTGCACAAAACACTAGGTAAATCAGGGTATGTATTTTTACCACTGTGTACTGCAGTGTTAATACTTTATCGAGTTAAGCATGTGCCATTCCCATAAAATACAAGGGGACAGTTAAACACTGTTGTGGCTCATATAAACTATTACTTATTAGTGATACATGTCTATAATGCAACAAAAAACCCCTGTTTTGTCCAGGATATGAACAGGCAGTTGCTATGTTTGGTAACTTTGCCTAGTTTCTATTATTAAATGCTTGTCACTAGAGATTTATGCTGCCAAAAAAGCATCTAGAAGGAAAAGTATGATCTAGAGAGATTTTGTTTCATTCTCCTTATTCTAGGAAGAAGGGAAGTCTTTTTGTTTAATTCTCTATAATTACACACCCACAGGTAAAAATTATGCTTGAAAGTATTCATTCCAAAACCAGGGAATTTTAGAAATATATAGCAACTGAAACTAAATTTTAGAGTGGAAATGTCAAGGTAACTTCAACTAGAGCTGTCATTAGCGTGCTGGTTAGCATATAATATTAATAGAGATATTCCAATTATCTCTCCTGAATGAATGTCTCTAAACCAGCCAGATATAACTCAGACACATTTCTAATGAGCCATAGGCAAATCTCATTAGTCTGTGATACCGGTAGAGGTAATGAGTAGCCCAGATTCATCCAGCGTATTGCCTTGCACAAAGCATTTGCTTTCAGGCCATAATGTTATTGAACGTAAATCAGATGTATATAAATGCACAGAGGCCTGCTTTTAGATTTGCACTTTCTTCTAACAAGTATTAACAACAATTCTGACTTGTCAGTGCCATTATTTTAATGCAAACAGCACATTTACAGCAGAGAAGCTGACATAGTTAATGTAAACAAGAATATTTTTTTAAAAAGCCAAACTTTTGAAAAGGACTGACTAAATACAATTAAATAAGGTATGTTATGTTTCTGATGTTATCTGTCTTTAAGTACAAATAACAACATGCCAGAGAATGTGGATGATTTCTTAACACATTCTACTGCCTAAGAATTGTGGGAGAAGAAAGGATGTATTTTATAAGAACAAAATTTTCCTTCCTCCTTCTCCAATTTATCTTCAAAAAAAGTCTCTTTTTGTTATTAAAAAGATCTGTTTGCAAGAATCAGAAAGCATATGAAAGTCCCCTAGTCTTCAGTTTATTCTGGTCTTGATATTGCATATCCAGTATTATGGATTATAACAGACAGACTGAATAATTGTTCTTAGGTTGTCTGATTAAAGGTGAATCTCCACAACCACAAAGGCCCTGATAAGGATCAAAGGAGCAACTTGAGGGAGAGCAAGCTGAGTAACCAAACCATTGAAAGGGAATAGTCTGTTCCCCAAGGCCACCAGAGACAGCAGCCAGATCCTGAAGCCAGGTCTGAAACCCACCAAGATGAGACAACAAGAGAAACTGTCCCCCAAACTGTCACACAAACTAAAGGGGAAATTGCCTACAGGGGATGCAGGGAGGAGATGACTTGGGAGGACTGTGGAGAACTTGGTTTGTGATATTTTAAGGGGTTGTGGGAATGTGTGAAACACTACAGGGTATTCAGAGAAAGGAATAAAGGTGGGGAAAGGGAGGAGGAGTCAAGGTCGACCTGGGAGGAATAAGCATGGGAAAACAGAGAGAAAAGGGGATTAAAAGGGTCATCTGAGTGTGAAGAGTTAGCTGATCATTGTGCTCATCTGACTGAGCCCTGTGCTTGATCTTTGCAGTTTAAGCTATATTCTTCTGAAATCCTATTTCTAACTACCCTCTTTGTGGGTGCACTCTATTCTGAGTGTGTGTGTGAAATCACCAGTGAGTTTCCAGTCAGCCCAGAGATGATGAGCAGCATAAGAAACTTGGGGACCTGCAAAGAAAGGGACCCTGAGCCTCAGGGACTTCTGGGTCCAGGCACTGTGAGCTGGACTAGCTCTGGGTCCAGCAACTGTGCAGGGGTCTGGAAGAGCCCCATGATGCCTGTGTGTGTACCTCGTTAATTGGTTTCAGTCCTCTGAAGCTGCAGAGAACATGAGTCAAGCCATCCATGCCATTCACGTTTGTGTGAGTGCCAGTACAGGTACTATGTGTGTGTGTGTGCATATGTGTATGCACACCCACGTGCTGCCTACTGGACACAAGTGCTTGGCCTTATACTGGTTGGACCTGAGGACAAGGAGCCACGACACTCTCCCATATATTGGGCTGGCACTAGAGGAATTCATCTGGGTCCTGATGCCATTCAGATATGGTTGGATCTAGCACTGTAAGCAAGAGGATTATAGTTTGTAAAGATATTAAAGATATTACTTCTTAATTGTTTCCATTACCAAAAAACCTACAAAGAAATGCATCTGAAAAGGCCTCTTCAACAGATAATACAGATACCGGACAAGCCCAAAGAAAGATGAAGCAGAGTAGAAACTGCCATAAAAATCAGAGCATGAAGGGGCTGGACAAACTAAGGACAAGGATGTTACCTTGACGAAAGTGGAAAGCAGAACAAAGTTTAAACATGCCAAATTTGAAGTGCAAAAATAGGTGGCAGATAAAGGGTAACTTCTTCTTCAAAGCCACTCACAGATTTGAAGTTTTGTGGTTGATTCTGTTCTAAGATATTCACTGCAATCTATAGGTAAACAAAAAAGCAGCCAACCTGATGCAGAGCACCGACAATTTTTCGTGCTTCTTGGTAGACTGTCTCAGCGGTCCAGTGGCTGTTGATGTTTTTGAGGGCTCTGGCCAGGCGGTTGTGCTCTCTCAGCCACAGCGTGTGCATAGCTGCCAGAGATGTGACCTCACTGGATCGGCTGTCCCCAGCCATAAAGCATTCAATCCTCTCCCCTCCACTTGCATTCAAGTCCTGTGCACAAGGTGACGGGACCTTGTCTGTAAAAGGCAGATATTCCCGATGGTTATCATAATATTTCATGTTTACTCTAAGAAGGCCTTCTTCGCTTGTTAAATTCCTCAGCTTGTTTTCAATGGCAGGGGTACTGCCATAGACAGTAGAAGCATCAAGGAAAGAAGTTAAGCCATTGATCTGTTGTCTTGGATTTAGTGCTGATATATTTCCAAAGAGAATTCCATGATCACCAGTGCTGCATGCAGGAGATGAGCGGTAGAAGGGCAAGCAATTCATCCCTGCAGATAATGTATCATTGGTGGTCACCTGCATTAAAAAAAAAAAAAAAGATGAAAAAAGATATTTTCTGAGGTGAAGGTAACAGTTGTGGACGTTGAATTAAGGCTTGTGTAAATATTTCCATTCTCTGTCTCAATTTTCACTTGTTCACATCTCATCTACTGGAGTGACATATTCTAAGCCTGTAGAGATTGTTTTCCTTCCTGTCAGATTTAAGCAAAAAGATGATTCAACCATTTTTAAGCAAAGACAGAAATAAAACACAAAACCTTTGCTCTGTCATAAGAGCAAACTGCTGATGTAACCTCTTTTGCATAGGTCTACACTTAAATTAGTCTGCTTCACAATCAAAATTCATCATGAAATGTATCACAGTGAAGACATGAACATCTGGGCAAATTGTATTCTACTTAAGACCAAGTGAAACAGCAGGTTTACATATATACGTAGAAACATAACCAAGAGTTTCAGTCTGCAGTAGCACACTATAAAAGCTTTGTTTCAATGCTTAATTTTAATTTAGTTTCCAACTAAAAAAGGCATATGTAATTATTCACTCTGCTTTCTGCCAGTCCCCCACAATCCTTTTCCTACGTTATTCTTCAGAGAAAGCTGTTTTACAAGTATTAAATTCTGACTGTCTTTATAAAAAGCAAAGGCTGCACATAACCTTTGCCAAATAAAAGACTTCCCGATCCTTTATCAGTTTGACTCATGCACAGTCGAAAGAGACTGAGGTCAAATAGCGATCCAGCATTTGTGTGCTAAGCAGCTTTGATATTGTCTGAACCAGCCTGTCGCTCCATCAGTTATCCCAAATATAAGTGAAGGGTGTGAGAGAGACATGTAGGAATTATCAAATGAGAACTTAGGGTATAGGTAAAAGTATTAGAAGAGAATATATCCCAAACCAGACAGCTAGAAGTTGTCACAGGAAAGCATTGATAATGACATGTGAATAACTTAATAGGTGTGGGAAGGTCAGCAGAGATGTTAGAGGAGGAGAGAAAGCAAGAGGTAGAAAGGTTTTATTTACGTTGTAGGGATATCCAAGAGGAAAGCTCAGACCACCCATACTCTTTCAAACAGTAGAGTTCACCACTAAACCAAAAACTACCATGTTTCAAATTTACTAAAATCTCTCTGCATTGTCGAATGTTTATCTGGCTTTATAAACTCTCTTTTTCTGAAAAGCATATTATTCTCAAATTCTAACAGTACTGCACTGTGTACCAACAATGAGCCATAATAGCCTGTCAGTTCCAAGAGCTTAAAAAAGATTAACCTCAATTAAAAATGTTATAACAATCATGTAGTCTGAGTTTCAGGGAATATAAATCTAGAGTTTTCTTATCAATTGATCAACTTGAAGTAGGTACAGATAACACTGCTGAAATATCCCAGAAAAAATAATCTTAAAAAATTTAACTAAGAGCGAATACATTTTTTGTACAAACACCTGAGTTAACCCTTCTTATTTGTGTTCTATCTGCTTAATTTCATTTTTTTCAAAACTCTTTGGCAGAAGACAGTGAATACTGCTGATGTTATAGAAAATCATGTAACTACTTCTCCATTCTTCTAATAATAGAGAGATTAGTCTGTGAAGATAGAATAGTCATTAAACTGGGGGTAAAAGTAACATGTATTAGACCAAGTAAAATTTTCTTACTACTAAGAACTGATGTCAGTAGGGATTGATACCAATAAAACATTTAAGTTAGGAGAGAGTTTCATTTGTTTTACAAGTTTTTTTTCTTAAAGAAATTCTACCAATATTTTCTCCACTATCTAGGTTTTAGTAAATCAAAGTAGGTTCTTTTTGAAGGAAATACGTAATTCGTTTTCTTTTTTCTTTCCTTCACTGACGCCTGAAATCAGTAATTTCTCTGCCTTGGATTTTCTATTTAGTATTTGTCTCTATTACTGTCTCTTGCTCTTAGTATGGCTCCTTTTTCCCCTGTAGTGTGAGATGAGCTTCCTGATCAACAACAAATACTTGATCTTGACAGCCACAGCATTGTACGTGTTTGAGTGCCTCCTGCTTCTAGTTATCAGGAAAACCTAGAAGAATTCAGGTATCACTGGGAAAAAGATATGAGACGTCTTTAGGTTGTTAAACAGTAAGGCTCACAATAAAACATATCAACAGTGAATTAAGTTCATACTGAATAATCTTTAGTTAACTGCCTCTGCAATTTCAATTCAAACCATCCTGTGCCCCAGTGGAGAAAAACAGCAGTAATGAACATTAAGGGACTGGCAGAATTGCATAATGCAGTTCTTTCCCTTTTCATGGGATAAGTAGTGTGTAGCCAGCAGCTGAATATGCAAATGAGAGGTTCCTTATGTTATTATTCAACATGAAAAATAATCTGAGGAGAAAAAAAGAGACCTTTTTCTGCTGAAATGGGTACAGAATCCCATTTTTTTTTCCAAAACTAATAAATAATATTCATATGAATTTTTTATTTGCCTTGCATAATTCTAGAGGAAAAAAAAACTCACAACAAAACCCTCTCTGGCCACTATAGTTTTCCTAGTATAGCTGTACGTTGATTTAAACTGTTATAATATATACACGGTCAAACCTGCTTATGGTGAAAATCTTTGATGTGTAGGAAAATGAAAGGCACTGACTGTTTCAGTGTACCAAAATGTCTAAACTGTTACTTCAGTTGAAGAAAAATCTTTCTTATTGTGAACCCATTCTGTGGGAAATGACCTTGTAAAAGGATTTTTGTTGTAGATTTAAAAGAAAACCTAACTTACAGTCTATGAACGTTTGCCAATAAGGAAAACATGAATATATATGGACATGAAACTCTGAGGACAGTCAATGACCCCACCTGACAGTGAGCTGGTGCCTCTGAAACACAGAAGAAAAAGGCCAGGGTTCACTTTGCTGATTGTTGAGCACACACCAACTGATCCATTTGTAACCGAAACAGTAATCTGTCATGTCACGTCACCTTTTGCAAATCACCTCATTTTTCTGTGGCTCTGTTTCTTTTCCACCTTTCTGTATCTGAACTAGCTGTCTCAAAGCTTTTAAGGACTGTATCTTACTAAGTGTATGCACTGTGTCTAACTTACTGTCAGAAATGTAATTAATACTGTACAAAGTCAGTGGCTCCTCTATGGAAGTCTTTCTAATGCCTCATTATTTCTCAGCCCTAACCTGAAGTAATCATCTGAGGAATGACAGGTTATCTCCGCAACCTTGTTCCATGTGTCAAGCTGCTGTAAAAGAAGCATAAACTAAAGTTAGTGATTTTTTAATTTATTTTTTTTTCACATTATGGGGTTCTGAAAAGATACAGAAAAAGAATGTTCAGTCTCTACCAAAAGCTACAGGCTCTATGTGAGAAGCATTGGGTGAAATTCTATAGCCTTTATTATGAAAATGTCCAGGATAGAAAATCATAATTGTTCCTGCTAACCTATGAATCATTTACTTACAATTGTTAATATTAATGCACTACCCAGCTTTCAACCCTTCGTTGAATTGCACTGACTCAGAATATTTTCCAAGCAGCTTCCCTAACCTGCACAGTCAGGAGCTTCCTCTCCTTGGTGGAACCCCCAGAGAGGAGATGCAGCTGTAAACACAGTTGTCCTTTTCTGTGGGTGGATTTTCCCTTGGGTGCCGCTGTTCTGGGAACACATCAAGGATCCAAACTGCAGCCTCTGTGTTTATAATGTTGGATAATATGCTATTGATTTAACTCTCTGGAAACCAGTCCCAGTTTCTTCATGTACAAATGAATGTATAAACTAATTACGTTGGTTTACCAAATATGTAGTAGGTGGAGATTAGTTTTAATTAAGATTTCAGGAAGAAGATCAGTTCTGTGGCGTAATAGTATTTTGTTTCAGTGTTCAAAAAACAGTTCCTCTGGTCACACTAATAACTACAACCCCACTCTTTTTTTTTTTTTTTTTTTAATGCAATTATTTGCCTTTAAGAAAAACAGTCACAAAATACTAGACATATAAAAGCAAATGAACAACTATGTTCATATCTGTTTCTCTAAGCTGTGAATAACAGAATAATAACAAATTAGAGCTGAAAAATTCACAGGACTATGATCATGTAATGAATCCACAAGTTGGGAAACTTCTCTAATACTTACAGGGTTGTGTCTGAATTTCGTTATATGTCCCCCATGCCATGGCCATTCTGAGTATTGTCCCAAAGTCAGCCATGGATATGACTTGACTCCATTCCTCTGCTAGGCTACACTGCTGAGCAGGAGCAGCTCCCAGGCTACACTCAGTGATAGATTTAGCACATGTACACATAGCTTGCCTTCAACAGCATCCTTGAAATATGCTCTGTGATTAATGTCTTCATAGCTCCAAGATAGAAATCCAAAATATGTCCCTTGTTTAAAGCACTGAAGGATGCACTTTGTGGGTCTATGCCATGGTAATCCATGTAGCTTCTTTCTCTCTGCACCGTAACACCACTACCACATGAAGAATGTTAGACTTGGAGTCTTTTTTCGAAAAACCCTTAAATTGCCTCTTTTTTAAGCAGATTAGATTTCTAAGTTTGAACTAGTCAGGGTTCAGTAATTAGACTTCTATCTATGGTCCCTGTGATCCACATTTGATTCAAGTTATTTGCAACAGTATGAGTCTCCTTTCAATTTAAAAACCTATTTAGTAATAAAAAAGTGGAATTTTTGCACTTAAAGATCAATACTAATTGTGCTGTTTCAAAGAATATGTCATAAACATAAAACATTAGCTTTCAAATACTTTTACAATTTTATATCTACAGCAACCTTTTTTTTTTTTTAAATGGGAGTTGATACATAGCCACAGTGTGTCATATGATGGAGACACACTCCACCTCCTTCTTCACAACATGTGAAGCACTGCTGGTCAGGGACTGGATTTCTGCCCTAGACTCTCCTGATAAGACTTGTGAATGGGAATGTTTCTATTAATAGCATAAACAGAATAAATAATTTATTGCCCCAGGTGGAATTTGAGACATAGTAAACTAGAGATTTTTGTTAGAACTATGGAAGACTCACTGTAATTAGGGCTGTTGTGGCTAAACCAGGTTAGCCAGTCACTTGGTGTCCTGAGAATGTGATTCTTTAAGAAGTCTGTGTTCTTTCTGAATGCCTTCAAGCTACGCTTGCAAATATTCAAAAGTCCATATCTCCTGGGTGAGAGATACTATGTTTACCTGCCTGTGGTAAAATTGTAGGCAATCATTCATTTCACCTAGCCTTCCCTGTGTTTTAGATTCTCTCACCAAATGGAAGATAAGCCATCTTCCAATAGAGGATCCAATTCATTTTCCCTTACAGTTAGCCAAATATTTACATTTTTGTGTAATGGAAGTGGAATGAGGCACTTAAGGCAAAAGGAGACTGTGGTGTAGTTATCAATTGCAGTTTGTTGAGGGGAAAAGAGTTTTCCATTCTGACAAAGCTTATTCCCTACATAGGCTTCAGTGCATAGAGAAGCTGGTCCAAGCTCCAAGTCTAAGGAAAGTAATTTACGTTGCTTTGGATAGAGATGGGGGCATCAGTCCAAGGACTGTAATGGACATGTGGTTCTCCTGTAGCATGAGATAGACAAGTTGCTCTTTAAGAAACAAAGAAGTGGTTTGACATTGTTACTTAATTTTTTGTTTGAAAGAATGACTATATTTTTAAATTAACCAGACAAGAATACAGGATCCTATATTTATACCAATTTATGTTTCTTCTAGCACTCTAACAAGCTTTGAACTCATGCTGTCCACCTATTCAAAGCAAAGAGGTGATGTATGTAAGTTTCAGCAACTCCCTGAAGATCATTTTATACATATGTTGAAAAGATAGCTCTCTTCAAAAGTTTGCATTAGCTGCTGGAAATATCTTAGTCTTCACTGTATAAAGTTAAGATCCTTTCACTTTATCTGGCTGGCAATATAAAAACAGAATTATTTATGACTACTTCCCTATTTTCCCCAATGAATCTCAAAACCTTGAAGCATGAGAACAATAACATTAGGGGGCCTAGTAAGGTCTCTGCAACATAAACTGGAGAGGTAGAAAAATGTGATATTTGTACTAAGTACCTTAGCCATAGTTTGTTATCTCTACAAAACAATTTAAATATCTACTTGTTTCATTTAATAGTTGCATTGGGTTTCAATTTTTCTGTCAATATCTGCTCTAATATTTCTGGATGATCTATGAGCTTGCTTTATAATTATTTCAGTGTATGTGTATCACTAATATGTTTTACTTTACTCACCTGTTAGAGCCTGGAAGAATTTCTCTTGAAGAAATTAATTTAGAAACTTACCTTTATTGGAAAACATGGATTTTGTTTTTCACATGTCATCTGGCACTCCATTCCATTTAGGAAGGTGGTTCTACTTGTGCTCTGGGGTGTGAATGCAATGTCATGGTCTATGTATTGTCCCCACACCATAATAATATCAGAATACAGGTTGTCTTCAGTAACAGCCTCATTAGATGCATGAATAATTTTTCTTGTCACTTCACGAACCTGGGAAGAGAACTAATTTACCTTGAGTGCCAAGTAGTATTTACTTCTCACAAAAGAACATAATGTGAAACACCCAAAAGTAGGGGGAAGAGTGGTAAAAGCTATATATATATATTTTTTTTCCCCTTAGAATGCTTTATGTTGTAGAGTACTTTTAATGGTTTGCCTGAAAACAAAACAAACCGCAACAACAAAAAACCCAACCTCTGACAGACTCTTATTTCTGTTCAGAAGCTGACATAACCATGCCACAAGCAGATTCAAAGATGTTTCAGTGGAGTTTTTCCTATACATTTGCCAAATGAGCAGTATATCTCTGATCTGTTCCTTTCCAGAGAATTCTGAAAACCGTATATTTCTTTCAGGTTGTCTAAAAGTTTTCTTTCTGTTTATTCTGTTTTCTGCTCCTTTAACAAATGGATTCTGTTTGCTGGGCAACCTCAAATCACTGTGGATATACAGAGGCTCTGGGCTGTTCTGTATATAAATGGTGCAGCTTATGCAGCCCAGGAGACAAGCTAGGTTGCAAATACATGGTAGCTGAAAGCTCTGCTTCATTTTCCCAGGCAGGGAGAAACCCAAACATATTTCTGCAGCACTCCTGTGAAAGCTGCATAGGGATACAGATGCTCTGAGGGGGGACACATGGAGACATCTATGCTACATGTCCAGTACATGTCTGTACTAATAACCAAGCAAAATCATCAAAGTAAAATCCACAGTCAGTTTAGGATGACTAGGGTGTCATTATTATTCAGATCCCTCACTCATGCTGCAAAATATTCCCTTGCATACAGCAGCTGCCTTAGAAGTCAAGCAACTGAAAGGGCAGCACATAAAATAGAGTCACAGAGTCTGTAATAAATATAAGGGCTATATAATGAATGTATAAGGCAGGTGCAGTTAAACAGAATTGCTAAGGACAAGAGGCAACATGGGACTTGTTAGGAACATCAGGGTTTGTATTGAAATAGTCAAGAGCAGAGATACATACAGCTCATCAGGAATACAAGTCTTTATATCAGTATTTTAATAGCTTTGGTGGTCACAAAGCAAAAACTTTTTTTCTTGCACTTAGTAAGATTTTCTTATCACTGTTAACTTGCACAGCTACACTGCATTCTAATATTGCTTTATAGTAATCCACACACTTATTTCTGACCTTCACATTATTTGCATGTTGGTTTTTAAAGGATATAGTTGGATAGCTAAAAGTACAAAAAAAGACAATTATGTAAATGAGGAAAAACATCTGTGGCACTGGTTTTATCCTATCTTACTTCAAAATAAAGCGGACAACCTTGCCGATGGTCAGATATGATCAGATTTGGTGCAGTTATGTAGTTTTGTTTTAGTGTGTTTTACTTCACAAGCATGTACCCTAATGAACCTAGAAAAAGGCTGTTTGCACTGTCTACTGGAAATTTACCTGTGTAAATGTCATGTTTTCATCTTTAAGCGCTGAATTGTGCAGCTTAGAGACAATGCTATTTAATTAATAACATGAGTTGCAGGTGACATTAACACTAAATTCTCCTGCTTATCCTTATTAAATATATGGTGGTTAAAATAACAAGACTTTGAGTACGTTAAAAGTCAGGTTTCAAAGCAATGATGACAAATCAGAAGTAGTAAATCCAGCCCAAACCATTGTACACTGCACTGGGGAATTTTTCACCCAGTCTTCTATGCAAATATTTTTTGTTCAAACTTTCCTCTATAGCAGCTCTGCTATTTTTTAAGAATATGAGCTGCTGAAATCTATAAATATTGCAATGTCTTCTTAGCTCAGTAAGCTAAAAAATGAAGTTATGATTTGACAGTAATACTTGTTCAGTTAAGGTACGCTGACCTAGGAGAAATGGCATACATGTGTACACGCATATGCATGCTAAAACGTCTGTATGCTTTATATTATTTATTTAACATCCAACCTTGATTTCTCTCTCCTCCTTCCCTGCATAAAGGCACCATTATTGAAAAAAAGAATCATAAAATCACTGTAAAGTCGAGGCTGAAAGGAAACTATGGAGACTACGTGGTGCAGCTTTATATTCAAAGCAGGGAATAGGTTAGTCAGAACTCCATCAAGCCAAGTCTTTAGTATTTCCAGCCTATTCCAATATTTGATTGTTCTCAAAACAATATTTTTTCTCCTATCAAGACAAAATTTCCCCTACAGCAGCTTGTGACCATTGCCTCGTCACGTCAGTTTGTATCCTTGTGAAGACCTCCCCCTTCTCTACAACAGCCTTTTTAGCATGGGAGTGTTGTGATTAAGTCCACCCTGCACCGTCTTTTCTCTAGGCAGAGCAATCACCCCCAGGTCTGCTGCCTGCCCTGCGCTGGGTGCAAGCCGTGCCAGGCACAGGGCTGGCTCATGCCCTGGCTGCTCTCCACCACTGTCCCTTTCAGCAGAGCTGTCCCTCAGGCAGTCAATGCCCCCCTGCACTGCTTCTTGGGCTTACCCCAGCCTAGGTGCAGGGGACCTTTCACCATTTGGATGACTGAACTTGCGCTTTGGCAAAGCTAGTGGCTCCTTAACTGAGCTCAATGGTTTCTTTCACTATTTGATTTACTGACAAAAATGGAGGTCTGTGATGGTGAGTATTGTTATAGCCTGGTGTAAGTGTTTCAAGTGATCTTGTAGTGCACTTTCTAACCAAAGGTAGCTGGACTCCATTGTATTGGACACTGGGATCCCATCCTCGAGGCTGGCTGAGTCCATCTTCATAGGCTGGTGGAAGCCACCTAGCCAAGGCTGTGTTGGATGCTCCCCATCTAGGATGTTCCCTAGGAAAAGAAAAACTAAAAAGCAAAAAAACAGCAGCAGAACCCCCCCCCCCC